TGTGTGTGTGTGTGTGTGTGTGTGTGTGTGTGTGTGTGTGTGTGTGTGTGTGTGGGAGAGAGTGGGAGAAGAGCAAATCAAGTCTCGCCTATGGCTAGGGATTACTCGATATTAGCAGCTTAATCTAATAATAAAGCTAATTTGCCAAATGGACAAGAGAACAGAGTAGAGCAGCAGATGCTCTCTTTTTCTCTCTCACTATATGAATAGCCTCACTATTTCACTGGTACCTGCTGGTAACTACTGCTGGCGTTGCAATATCTCTTCCCCAACTTTCCTTCATTTCTTGGCTTCATATGAATTATTGAGTGACAGTACTGCTGCTCTTTCTTTTATCCGCATCTGAGCAGCAGTAGCAGCAGCAGTAGAAGCACTTTACTTTCATAAATCACACACTTCACATTTTGACGGAGACAGTAGCAGACAGAAGATGTGAAACAGAGGGCAACAACAGCAAACAGTGTCTCCTCCGCAATCGATTTGCGTTCAGATTTCATTGTTTCAGAAAGTATAGAAAGAATGATAAGAAAGTCAGAACAGTTTCCAGTGAACTTTATCGTTTTCGCTTAGCATTGTCCAAGTTCTCAATAATGTACAAAAGATGGCACATAAGGCCAGTAGCATAACGAGAGCACTCTGGTCACAGCAAAGCACTGCAGTCCAACATCAGTACTAATGGCAGCAAATGAACTTTTGGCAGAGAACTCCGAACAGTGCTTTAGTTTGCCTCAATTAGCTGTACTTGCAATTAGCTGAGATGCCATTTGTTTTCTTGCGATGAATTCTCTTGGCCACTGTTTCGGCAAAATGTACAGAGGAAGTAACAGTAGCAGCAACCTCATTTCTGGCATCCAATTTTGGTTTTCCTAAATGGCATTCAGATATACAACTGTGGCCGAAGCAGCGGTTTTCTACTACTCGCTTCTTCTTTTTCTTCTTTTACTTCTTCTTAGTAAGAAGGGCACATTTAAGAAGCAATAATATTCAACATGACAGAGCCCTCACTACAGCTTTCAACGACGTCCAAATGCCATTCAGCAAGTGCTGAAAACATAGCTTTCTAGCTTTCATTTCTCCGCATTCCTCTTTTGCTGTTTTTTTTCTTCTTTTTTCTATTCCTTTTAGCAATGGCNAACGTCCAAATGCCATTCAGCAAGTGCTGAAAACATAGCTCTCTAGTTTTCATTTCTCCGCATTCCTCTTTTGCTGTTTTTCTTCTTCTTTTTTCTATTCCTTTTAGCAATGGCTTTTTGGCCAAACTCTACAACAAACACACATGCACACACACTTTTTGCTTACTAATTTAGACAATTTAAAATCTGCACTGCATCTGCTCTCATTACAGAAAAAGTCCTACATGTCCTTCTTTTTGCTATTGCACTTTTCATCTCCTCCCCCTTCCTCCTCTGCTCGGATGCTTTTAATTCTAATTAATCGAGACGTAACTAATATAACTAATATAAATGATAATAATATGTAAGAACAAGAGCTACGGAAAGAAGAAAGAGAGCACTCCTGCTTTCTTTTGGAGAAAACACTTGCTGCCGATGTGAGAGAAGAAGGGGCAGCGCAAAGTAGCCGTTTGTGAGTGGAATAAAGCATCAGCGTGGGCAGCATGCAACAGCAAGTGCTTTTTACTTTTGCTTCCCTTTCCTTTTCCTACTTTGCTCTTTTTGCTGTTCCCCTCCTGTTCACACAAAAGACACATTTTAATAATGTGAATTAATATGGGAGCCATTTTAAAGCTCGCATATGGCAATTACAATTACCAGTTTGAGTGTGAGTGCACTAGTGTGCACGGCCATTTCAATAGTGCACACATTGTGTGTGTGTGGAATATTTTGAAAGGAGACAGCTTCAAACAGACTCAGGCAACAGCGGCAGCAGCCTCGACCAGTGTGGTCATCGGGCGTCACATCCACACACACACACACACACTGCCCAAATTCGTCTTTTATTGCCAACTTTTCCCCTCTCCATCTCCCCTGGTAGTAATGGCTGCTAATAAAGACCAAATTAAGAAAGAGAAGAAAGAAGGAAAGCGAAAATCTGGTAACTGCAGCAGTTTTAGCCCCGCTTGTCCAGAGTGAACAAGTGGTGAAGACAAAGGCAAAGAGAGGGAAAGCACTGAAATGGTGCTGTTTGTGTCCATTGGCGGCGCCATTACCACCACCAGTGGAAACGGCTTCTCTGGGCTTGTGTTTTCATTCTCCCTCATGGTGAATGCAGAGACATGCTTAATTGCCGGAGCACTGCTGTGATTGCCAATGCTGATTGCTAGACGACAAATCAGTTAGGAGGCGAAGGGAACACACAAAGGACACACATAAACAGTTGTCAGACTTCTTGGGCGACTTATTCTTCTTCTTTTAGACAAGTTGCCGGTTGGAGTTAACAACAGCAACCACAGTGGTCTTTGTCTGGCCAGCACATACTACTGCCCTACTGCCGCCGCATAGATCCATTTTGCGTCCGTCTGCTCTCTGTTCTCCCCGTTCTCTCTTTCTTTCTCTCTCGCTCATCTCCGTAATCAATCATCATCAGAATCAGCAGCATCATCTAGTCGTCATTGTTATTAATGATCATCTGCACTAACGACACTAACTAAGCTACGCTTTATTCATTCACGGTGTGTCTCTGTCTGTGTGTGTGATTGCCCGATCGAAGAAATTCAAAGGAAAAGAAAATGAAAGAGAGAGAGAAAATAAAAGATGAAACCGATAAACTCAGAGATACTACTACTACTGCTTCTGTTGGTGTTGGTCGAGTCGATCGAATCAACCAGCCAACCAACCAACCACCAGTGCATCGCTTTGCTGCACTATCTATTTGGATAAGATTTATGCTCTTGAATTGCAAATAAGCTCTCTCTCTCTCTCTCTCTCGGGCAATCAGCCCACGGTAGTGGTAGTGACTAGAGTCCAGTGTTTGCAGCCAAACTAAAGTGGTCATCACTATGATTCAGCAATGCATGCATGCAATAACACCGACAAGCTGTGACTTGCACCTAAAGCCCTCTTTCTTCCCTTTACAGCACTCAAATACCCTGAAACCTAATGATTCTCATTTCTTTTTCTCTTTCTCCCTTTCTCCCCCTTCTGTACAGCTCTCGGCCAGGCCCGCGCCGGTCCGAATGCGCAGCAATTGTGCAAGAACAACAAGAGGACGATGTTCCCGCACGAGGAGTACTGCGACTACTACTACGAGTGCATCAACGGCGAGGCCGTCGTTCAGACCTGCCCCAACGGACTTGCCTTTGCCGGACAACAGAAGGGCCTGGCATCGAATTGCGACTACCCGCACAGAATTGGCTGCCCCGATGGCACCCGAGTGATGGGCCGTAAGTAGAAGGGAGAATGAATGGTTGTGTGTGTGTGGGAATGTGAAGAAGAATAAGAAGAAGAGTGACAATGAGAATGCACATGCACAGTGTCAATTAGCGATACAGAACAGGAGTGACGACAGGTCACACTGACTGTCTATCAGACTGTCCATTCCGGTGTGTCCATTCGGACGTACGTCAACAGGAGCAGCAGCAAAAAGTGCCACCCGTTTCAGTGCTGTTGCTGCTGTTCACCGGGCAACCGGCGACAACAGCAGCACATGCAAATTGCCGGCTGTCGTCGCCGTTCATTGCTGTCATTCATTATCAGCTAGCCTACACACACTGAGTGCCACCAGCACCTCCACCCGTTAGTCAACTGAAAGCAGTTGTCTTTGTCCCTGTATAAGAGTGTGTGTGTGTGAGTGAGCAAACAAACAATTAGCGGCAATAGAAAGTTTTAATTACTGCTAATGGAGAGAGGGGAACAGAGTGGGCAGTGCTGCAAGTGAGGGGTCGCAAAGGGTAGCCTCTCTCACTCAGTGCATTATTCATTGCTCATTACTCAAATGTGCAGAAATGGTAAACAGAGGAAGGTTGTCAGAGTGCACACATACCTTCACTGAGCCTTTCCTTCTAATCGATGCAGCTGCAACACTACAGAAGTGGTAGTAGTGATGTGAAGCCCACGAAGTGCCCACTGCTGATGAGCATGGTGCCTGGCTCCTGCATCGTTGCCCGGCATTAGGTGTCACTTGACACAGCACACGGCAGAGTCCTAAGCGTGGCTGTCTCTAGGTATCCTCTCTTTTCCTTACTCTTTCGAATCAGTGGTCAATGGCCGAAAGAGGAAATCATTCGTATGCAAAGGAGAAATGAAAAGAGAGAGAGAGAGAGAGTTAGCCAGAGGTTAGTTTACGTCCAGTGCACTTGTGATCCATTAAGATGGCCCTACAAACAGCAGCAGTGTGGCTGTGCTTGTACAACTGATACTCTGTCAGTGCCTTGTGGTGCAATTGAAATGGAAATGCCCGAATTGGAACATGCTCATGTACATACTAGTTTCGACAACGACAACAACAACAATCAGCAAAAGGATCATTGACATTACAGGGGCAGCTAAAGTAGCAAACACACAACCAGTTTTGTGGATTGGAGACTGCAAACTCGAGAAAGGGGAGAAGGAGAGAAAGAGTGCAACTACCACTATCTATTTGGAACTATCGCTGTCGAACAGGACGCTGATATCGCTGACAGTGGCGGGACATTGACAGGCAAAATTAGCATAGCACAGTGTCATTAGGGGACTAAAAAGCAGTGTGGTGATAGCACAGGGCTGGTGGTGACAAAACAAATGATGAGATTCATGCAATACCAAACACATTCACATTTACAATTATTTGATTTTCTCCTTTAGAGCAACCGATCACCGTTGAGAACTGCCAGTGGCAGTACGGCGTCTTCCCACACGCCACCTCCTGCACTCGATACTGGCACTGCTGGAACGGCACCGCCACCATTCAGCAGTGTCCCTTCTCGCTGCTGTACAATGACGCCGTGCACGCCTGCGACTGGCCCGACAATGTGCCCGACTGTCAGAAGCATCCCATCTGCAGGTTAGTATTAGTTCATTGTGAACTGATGAACTGATGAAAAGTAAAAACAACTAACTAAACATCTGACATTTCCGCATTCATTCACCTTTTCCAGTGCCGCACCCAACGGCGCCGTGCCCATTGAGAAGAGCTGCGTCCGATACTGGCTCTGCGTGGGTGGATATCCACGACTTCAGGTACGGCAACTGACTCTGCATGATACTGACTAACGCCCCCTGATTTTTCCCCACACAGAGGTGCCCAGCTGGCCTTGCGCTGAACACGAACAGTCTGAAGTGCGAACTGGCGTCCAGTGTGCCCGGCTGTGAGCCACCACCGACGACCCCGTCTCCTGATGATGATGACGACCAACCGTCTTCCGGTGGCAACAAGCCCTCAGAGTCCTCTTCAGGAGGCCAAAACTCTCGCAATCAGCCGCAGTCCTCCGGCGGCAACAGCGGCAGCGGTGGTCTGCCCCAGCAGTTCAGACCATCTCAGGCTGGTGTCCGTCTGGTCGGATAAGGAAAGTCTGATTACTGACTAATCAGCACACACAATATTTGATGAATATTGACGACACATTTTCATCCACTCTTTCAAATGGAATTTAAACTCAGTACTTAGCACTCTAGTGACAATATTATACCGCCCAGATTTTAAAACCATCCTTTCTGGAAAGTATCTCTTCTTCATTTGGCAGTCACGATGTGCTCTTTCTCCGTTTGATTGACTCACCTTACCACACCTATTCCCGCATCTATTACGCATTACTCTGCATCTCTTATACATTGATGCTTTACACACCAATGTTCTCTCGATTCTTCTCTCTTGCCTCTTGCTCTTTTTCTTTCCTGTTTGTAATTATTATAAGCCAAATCGACCAAATGTTTAAAATAAAGATAAAATTGTGTTTTATCACCAGTAACTGTGTTTTTGCGTGAAAAAGCAAGTGAAGACAAAACAGACAAATAAAAAGCAAAGAAAGGAGCAAGCCAACTCTATCTACACTGTCAAGTGAGCAAATATGGCGTTTGTCATTGCGGTCTAAGTTTTTCCCTTTTTTCTAGTCACTATCTACTTCATTCATCTATTCATTCATTCATTCATTCATTTCCGTCATCGTCTTTTTCTCCCTTTCTTCGCTCTGCAGCAGCCAATTCAATTTGTCACAATGAGCCATTACNTATTCATTCATTCATTCATTCATTTCCGTCATCGTCTTTTTCTCCCTTTCTTCGCTCTGCAGCAGCCAATTCAATTTGTCACAATGAGCCATTACTTATGTGTTGCCTGACACATCTGAATCAGCCGTAGCCCATTGCCCTACTGGCCAATTGGTCAATCTGACAACGCATACTCACACGCACACATTCTGCCCCATCGTCTGAATGCTTTCCCAATTGCCCGTCACTGAGGGGAAAACACTGGGAGCTGAAGAGAGCGGATGGGGTGAAAACTAGACCATCAAATGGGCAATTCGTTGTTGCAGCCAGCTCTAAAGTCGGTAATTGAATAGAAACTGGTCGTGAGACGAGAAAAAAAGAAGAGATAGCAGTGTGACAATCGGGCATAGATTTGACCAGCTGACCGGTCAGAGAAAGCTGAAGAAAGCCAGAAAAGAGGACGGCAATCAGCAATCAGAGGAAAACTGCTGCTTCTACTGCTACAGCTTTTATTTGCTCTTCTTAGCAAGAGGAGAAAAAAGGAAACAAAATGCGACAAATAACAAGCGGCACCGCCGAACCGTGCGCTTCAGGAAAAGAAGAATCGGGCGCAAATTGTGCTGGGCGACAATTGCAG